ACTGTCTTATTGAGTTGGTAGATAAAATTAATCTTCATAAAACATGCGGTCTGGCAATTTGAAGTGTATAATGATGCATGTTGACCAAATGAATTTTGTTCTTAACGGCAAAAAAACAGGTTTCATAATCTCTATTGTTTTGTTTGGTCGAATGGTGTTTTGTACTTCACAAGACCAACCAAGCCCATTTCATTGTAGTGAGAATTATATTGTTTTTAGGTGATTTTAATTACTCAGTTTCAAAGTTAGTGGTATCTATCATTATATGTGTTCCACCTCAATTTTATATTTGTCATTCAAGTTTCACAGTTTTGCTATGGAGCCATCCGATAATTCGGCTTATGGAACTATCCATAGTTATTCACAAATAGTGTATTGACATGTATCCTGCAATAAATACACATTGGACATGTGTCAATACATAAAGTTATGACTCAATAAGGGAGTCATCCGATGGCACGATATAATTTCTGTCAAGTTTCAATTAACAATATATATATGTGTATATATATATATATATATATATATATATGAGCTGGTTCAAATAAAAATTAATCCTGGTGTGAGAACCATATTTTGATGATATTTTTAATTGTATATGTTGCTATTTTTAATATTGAATGATGCTATCATTTTCACAAATGCTAATAAAAATTGTATTGCTATTTTTAATAAAATACATCCTGGTTAAAAATAGCACTAAAACACAATCAATCATAGCAACACATACAACTAAAAATAGCGGGTCTCACGGTTCTCACGCTAGGACTTAGTTCTCATTTGAAATACATCATATATATATATATATATATATATATATATATATATATGGGGTTTGCTCAAGTGAGAATGGTGCTCAATAAAGAAATAAGAATAAATTGTAGTCATTAGATCATCTAAAAATAAAAAATAAATCGTAGTCATTATACTATATATTTTTATAAATTATAATGATAAATCAAACTATGTTGAACTCTCACGTGAAATATTATATTAGAAAGAGAATTAATAGTACTTATAGTGTACATTATTTTAGACTATACAACAATTAACATAATTTTGTCAAATATGTAATTGAAAATTAGTAAATTCAATAAATATAAACTAATATCTCCTACATTATTTTAAAATGCATGAAGTGTCTGCTTATAATATTTTTCATATTTTTTCAACTTTACTATCATTTGTTTAAGAATCGAAACAAGATATTGTAATAAGTTATGACTAAGAGAAGGTAGAGAAATTTTATTGTGAATATTATTTGTTAATAGTGTTTGAAAACGTTATTTTTTTATGTTTCATAATTCTAAAAAAGAATTCTAAAATCACAACTATTTTATAACGTATGAAATCCACATATAAATCATATATATTATATATCATAAAAGTAAAAAAAAAAGATATAAAATTAGCATTAATATTCAAAATTACTTTTATACTTGTTGATGATCCTTCTCATTTTAATTTATATGATGTATCATTATTATTCATGTGAATTGTACAAGTTGGTATAAGTGTGAGTATAAATGTGATAAATAATACAATATTATTTTGTCTTGTATATAAGAGCTAATACAATATTGAAAAATGTTATAAGGTACGTAATATTGTACATATAAGTGTACATAACACTCACATTAAGTGGATCTTACAAAAATAAAAAATCAAGTAGATTCCACTCCATGTAAGTGTTATATATATCTCTATACATCTATTATGTACTTGTAACATTTTTCTATTATTTTTATCTACTCTTATTGTGAATGTTGTCTACGCTCACCATTATTACAACAATACAATATTATTTTTATCTAGTTCTTCTAACATGCAATTTACAATTTATTTTGGTTTTAGCTACTTTCAGTGTAAATGTTGTCTACGGTTATCATTATTGGGCTTGGAGTCAGACTAGTTTAAGTGGGTTTTGAATCATGTAACAAGGAATCCCATACCATAAGACGTAATTTGACTTTGGTCGGCTCAACTTGTTTAACTCTACATTATTTGTTTTAATTATTTTTTTTGGTTTGTTTTTTAAAAAGAAATATATATACATGTTTATATGATAAATATTTATAATAAAAAATAATATTATTAATATGATGATGATGTATAAAACTTAATATATTTTTTTTATTTTTTTAATATATAGTTATAAAATAAAAATAATACAAATATAATTTATTTTAAAAAATAATTACATCGAATCGAGGACGGAATGTTTGGACAGATTAACAGAGTGATTGTTGTCACGGCGTAACCATAGTTGACGCCAAACTTCGGATTCAAACACAAGACAATTTAAAATAGATCAGAAGGCTCACTTTCCAACGCTCGGGTTTAATTATATTATATTTTATTAATCAATCTAAATTATTACTTCAAAATCATTCAAACACTTCTAAAAATGTTTTTATTCATTTATTTTATTAAATGTTTATATATAAATATATATGATAAGATTAACATGAAAACATAATAATATATATAATATGATTGTATTCCATACAAAGTTGGATCAATCATTCAATTAGTTTCTCTAAAATTTCTTCCAAATATTCACGAATAACATTGAAATAATTTCTGTAGATATATTATTCTAGAAGTATACTACCTTACTTTGTTTTAAAACTTAATACTGTTTTGGCCTTGATTCATCTTTATTAATACACTTATTAATTACCTTTTTATGATTTTTGGTTTGACACTTCTACTGTATACAATGAAATAAAAAAAATATGGTGTATTATTTATATTTATATCATAAAATATTTGGAAAAATGATTAAGTTACACAAGGTCAAGAATATTAAACAGTACTTATTCTATAGAAAAAAAAAAACACCAACTGTTATTAACTATTCTGCATTAAAAGTTCAAAACCTAAAAAAATACCAACTGTTAACTTTAATCAACCCAAATATTGTCATAAACTATTTTGCATTAAAAGTTCAAAACCTAAGAAAAAATAAAAAACTATTTGATTTCTTTAGATTCACAGCTTCTCATAGTTCATAGAGCAGCCTATGCAAAAGAATCTAATTATTATTACAAATTTACAACTATTATTTTATTTCTTTAATCCTTAATCTCTTCTTCCAACTGGCCATCAGCTTCCAGGCTCATCGGCCTCCCCATGGCTCAGCTCCAAAAAACATAAGAAAAAAAAATAATAAAAATATATATAAAAAAACCCTTTCACAGAAAATTGTTCCTTGCTCACAGGCCGTATCAGGACACAGTACTGCACGCATATAGAGAGAGGGGGGAGAGAGAGAGAGAGAGAGATTATATATTAAGCTCCGAGGAGCTTGTGGGCTTTGATTTATTTGCAGGGTTTTTATTCATATCAACATATAATATTAAAAAAAGGGAAGATAAAAATCCCTTAATTCCATTTTCCATATCTATCCACCCTCTCAATTCTTGAAAAGCTTTCCTACCTTCGAAGAACTCGAAAAACAAACAAAGAGAAAAGGATAAACTCCACAATCATTGCACCTTCCCAACAGGCCTTCTGATCAATTTCAGATCATTTATATCTGTCTCTTCTTTGTTTTCTTCTGATGGCGCTAGTAATCTCAAGGGCTCTTACAGCTTTTGTTAGCTTGCTCTTAAAAATTGTTGAGATTTGTCATTTTTGTTTTCCTCTCTTGCCCCATTGTGCCCTCTTTGGGACAACTTTATCTCCATTTTTTTCTGAACATTTTATATTTTATTTTATTTTATTAAAGGTTTTCCTTAATTTAAAAACTATTATAATCCAAAAATTATATCCCTCCATCCATCATCTGCCTATAAATACCCTTCCTCTTGTGTTTACATTCTCAAACATACAAAAACACTTGGAATAGTGGAATAATAACATCCTTCCTTCCTTCTAAACCCAAACCCCACAAAGCCCAAATCATAAAAATCCAATCTTTTTCCAGAAAATGTTGGGAAAAAAACAAAAGCAGAAGCAAGTACCACACCCAAAGCAGCAGGTACAACTCCCTGTCCGGCCGGAGCCTGAACGACTGACGTGCCCACGTTGCGAGTCCACCGACACAAAGTTCTGCTACTTCAACAATTACCATTATACTCAGCCGCGCCATTTTTGCAAGACCTGCAAGAGGTACTGGACCAGGGGCGGCAACCTCCGCAACATCCCCGTCGGCGGCACCCCCAAGAAGGCCTCCAAGCGCCCCGCCGCTGCCGCATCCTCCGGCAAGCGCCAGGCGCCTGCGGCGCCGCCGGAAGCCGGAGACGCCGGCGGAGGAGGTGGGATCGGGGTCGCGGCGGCCATGAGGGTCCCGCCGCCGCCGCCGCCGGAGAGGATGTTCGGGAGCGCCGGCGGGAGCCTCGCGTCGGTGGTGGCCGGCGCCGTCGGGTTCGGCGGAGGGAGGCAGATGGGGGACTGGGGCGCGGGCCCGAGCGGTGATGTTCCGGTGGAGTTTCTGGAGGTGGGCTACGAGGACGACGGCGTGTGGTTTGATGGCGGAGGGTGGCCGGATCTCTCTATGTACCCGCCGGGGTCGAATTATATGTGAGGCTCTCTGTAAGTTTCTTCAGGTGAGAAAAAAGGTGGGTTTTTCTTTTGAGAGAAGAAGAAAATGGGAAAAGGTTGAAAAAAAAGGGGTTTAATCATCACTCATCACTGTACTGTGTCCTTTGAAGATGTTTGTTTTTTCTTCTTTCTTTTTCTTTTTCTNAGAATATTGTAAAATATATGTATAATCCTTTTAGTTTCTTTTTATATATATCCATCTGTTTGTTCTTCTTATTGTGAAAAAAATTTCAATTTTCTTGGAGTAGTTGAGATTGTATAGATTGGAGTTGATTTTAGTTTTTGCTTTCCCAAAATATAATCTAGTGTTTTGTAATCTCTAATTTTGATTGATTTAATTGTGTGACGTACTTCTTTACACCCATATGATATGTGAGTTTTAATTCAACGAAAAAAAAAATTAATAATTGCAGCGGAGCCACATAATTAAACTTTGAAGCATAAAAGGGACTAGTACAGATCCCGTGCGATGCACGGGGTGCACAAAATTAAGGCTATTTATCAAGTTTTATAATTATATAAATGAATAAAGAAAAATATACAGGATATATATAGTACGTGACCTGTAATAGGCCAAAATGTGAACACGGGTGATGCACGGGGTGCACAATTTTAAGGTCATTTATTAGTACAGAGTCCGTGCACGGGGTGCACAATTTTCTAGTATGTGTAATACGAATACATACCGTATGCAGGGGACAGAAGCATTAAATGAGTTATTTCCACATAGTTTGCCGGTTAAGTAGCTCCTGAACACGGGTGCACAATTTGTAGTACGTAATATAAAATCAAAACAGATTTCCATACAATTAGATAATAAATTAGATAATAAATAAAGCCTTTTATTTTAATAAAGATTTTACGTACTTTTTTTTACTTATCGGATGTTATGGGATTTTTTTTGTTAAACCGATTTTATCGAATATGATACAAATACAATTAGAGGATTACACAAAATCAGAACAACTTTCTATACAATTAGATAATAAGAATGAATTAGATAAGGAAAAAAAGAAATTAGATAAAGAATTTTGAATCTACCTTTTTTAGTATAGATAGACTTTACGTACAAATTTTGACTTCACCGATTTTATAAGATTTGTTTTGACGAAATCAAAGATGAAATATTGAGGACTGTTTCTATTAACATTTACAATGTGTATTTAATGTTTATTTTGGCAAAATATTCTTTTTAAGTGTGATATATAAATATTAAAAATACTTAAAATATTTTATAACATCTATAAAAGCATCTAAAATATTCTATATTATTCACAAATAATGTTTGAAGCTACCTAAATTTTTCTAAACTACCCGTAAGGAAAATATGTCTAAAAATTCTTCATTTAACCTTCATATATGTATATATATAGAGAGAGAGAGAGAGAGAGAGCAAATGTGTAAAAAAAAATTATACAAATAATATTTAAAAGTATCTAAAATATTAGTAATGAGGTGAAATTTACATTATTAAAAAATCTATATAGATAATGGATTTATAGTAGTAATTAGACTTTTATTTATTTACGTTTAAAGTTGTTACGATACATGAGGGATGTGATTTTTTTTACTCGTGGAGATGGAATTTTATAAGCTGGGTTATGAAATTTTCTTAATCTCGTCCATGCCATGAGTTTTTTAAGCTGGGTATATAGATTTAAAATTGTAAAAAAAAAAAAAACTTTCATCAATCATTTGATTTGGTATTTTCGGAGAGCTTCATTAATTTAAAAGTGTAAAATAAATAAATAAAAAATGTACAACTGAAAAAGTTACAATCAATTGTATGGAGAATTAAACTAAATCCAATTTTGTAGGATGCATTAAATATTGATTAAATTTTATATGTAAAATAAAATAAAAAAATAACTGGAATAGTTGTAAGTGTTGCAATATTTTATATTTAAAAAAAATAAAAAATCTTCATTTACATATTGCATACCTACATTTTAGGAACTACATAGATATTCCTAAATTAATATTGCATACCCAATATTTTAGAAACTAATTAAATGCTAATTTGATTTGCATACCAAAAATATTAGATGCATTAATTAAATGATTGATAAAAATAGCAGATCATTAATTAGGGTTGACTATTCTACATACTACATTTAGTAAATAATACCCCCTTTAATATAAGTATAGATTACAACTTAATAAGCTTTTTTCAAGGTATAAGCCCATTTTCTAGAATAAACTAGTATTCCACCTGTGCATTTGCACAAATTTAAATAAATTATTGTGAGTCTGTATGCATATATTGATTAATTATTTTTCTTTCACTTTTTTGCAGACTAAATTTACAATTAAAAGGATTGGAATATTTTTTTTAAATTGCGTTTATCTGATTGGATGTAATGTATATTTTGGTACGTCTTTTATTTGTGAATTATTTATTATTTATTTAGAAATTTTAAATATATTTTTTATTTAAAAAAAAAAATTAAATGTAACAACAATAATAACATCTAATCACATTATACGGTCAACATATTATATGGTCAACTGTCATTAATCAAATGTTTATAATGATTTTTATAATTTTGAAGTGATGAGTATTAATTATTTAATGATTAAATGAAAGATTAAATACATTAAAATGTAACGGTTTTTGGAGGGAAAATTGTTAAATTGCCATATAAGTAAAATTAAACAGGTTTTATTAAATACTATTAGCTAGTAATTATATATATATATATATATAGATTATTTTCATACAAACTCATCTAGTTGTTGAAAAATATGATGATGTAAAGAAACGATCAAATATGACATTGTTGCATATGTGGAGAAGATGAAGAATCCCTGGAGCATATATTTTTTCACTGTCCTCGAGCCATCATAGTTTGGAAGCTGGCAGGATTAGACTGGAGTGGGATTCATAATTTTACAGATTCCTTCAAATATTGGTGGTCTGAAATATGCCACATTCAAAGGGTACAGTGCTTTCAAGATAGAGTTCACTTCTCAACTTACATTCTTTGGTGGCTATGGAAAACGCGCAACAATTGGCTCTTTAATAAAAATTGGATGTCTGAACTTGACATAGCAAAAAGAGCATGGTTTGAGTGGAGAGAATTTGAAGAATCTTTCATTGCTGAAGCCTGATTTCTTTTTATTATATCTTGCTTCCTTTCATTAGATCATTTTGGCTGTTTTCTTTCTTATTTTTTATGGAGATGCTGCAAATGAAGACTGCTAGGGATTCTTATTCAGTGGTGAGCCTTCAGGTGCAGCAATTTCATGTGTTCTTGGTGAGGTCTTTTAGCTAGGAGCAACCTTTCTGCTCAGTGGTTGAAAGTCTTCCCACCTTTAGGCTTTGTTTATTTTGTAGCCTGTATGTATGCTCTTTTGGTCTTTGTGCTTTGTGTAGTTATGTATATGTTCTTTTAGTCAGGTTGTACATCTTTCAGTGTTGTAGTTTTTGTGATTTTTATGTTTTGTAACTTGGCTATGTTTCAAAGCCAAGGTAAGTGCCTCTGGGCGCGCCTTATTGTACAAACTTTTTTGGAGGAGATCAATATATATTATTAGCCGTTTCGAAAAAAGAAAATGTAGGGAAAGAAATACGGATGGCTGTTGAGAATTAGAAAAAATAAAATTATCTGGGTGTAATTTATTTTATAATTTTAAAAGGTTCCAAGTATTTATAAAAATTACAAAAAGACCCCGATGTATCTCAAACATGTTCACAAAACGAATTTGGCTTGATCTTATCTTGTTCTCGAGGCTCTTCTTTATTTTTGGTGACTAAAGCCATCATTAGGATCATCCACACNTTTTTTTAATTAATTTTTTTTTTTTAAAAACGTAATACTTTTTAAAATTATATTTTTCAAATATTTTTTTTAAATAATTGAAAAACGTATTTCAATAATACGGTTTATAAAAAAAATTAATAAATAAAACGTATTTTGATAATATGTTTAATAAATAATTAAAAAAATTTAATAAATAATTAAAAAATAAAACGTATTATCAAAATACGTTTTATAAATAATTTTTAAAATTAATGTGTAGTATGTATTTTGTGTTTTGGGTTCGTTTGGGCTCATTTGAACTCGGAATCGAGTTCCGTTTTTTCCTATACGTAGCTAACGAACCCCTCTATCAATGATACTTGCATGACCAAATTATTCTTGAAATTATATTCTCCCAAAGCTCTTGACCGATACATTAAATGTGTTTCGCGCGACTTTTCTTTTTGGGCCCGTTCGGACTCGTCCAAGCTCGAAATTGATTTCTGCTTCTTTCTATATGTCGTCAAGGAACCATTCTACACAACCATGATTGCATGGTCTATTTTCGGGCTAAATCTATTTTTCACGGGCTAAATAATTAACAAGTCACCAATTATATAAATAGATGGTCCATAGAGGATTTGTTAATTATTTAGCCCCGTGAGGAATAGATTTAACCCAAAAATTTATTGGGCAATCATGGTTGTGTAGGCGGGTTCGTTGGCGACATATAGGAAGAAACGGAACTCAACTACGAGCTTGGACGAGTTCGAACGGGCCCAAAAAACTAAGTCGCACGAAATACGTTTAATGTGTAAGTCACGAGCTTTGAGAGAATATGATTTCAAGAATAATTTGGTCATGTATGAATCATTGAATAGAGGGGTTCGTTAGCTACGTATAGGAAAAAACAGAACTCAATTCCGAGCTAAGACGAATCCAAACGGGCGTTGTTGTCGTTCGCGGTCACGGCGTCTTCTACCTCCACTAATGTTGGCAGCGGGTTGATGTCTCGCTCTGTGTGACTGTGTACTCTGGGATGGGACGTAGTCCTCCTCGGATAGAACTTGACTGAACGACGCCCCTTGTATGACCTCTTGGCCTCCAATAGTCAGAGAACTATAGGTACTCTCCCGGATGAGTGCACAGAAGATCAACATATTTGGATGTATAGGGGGTGGATCTTCTGTTGGAACATACGTGAAGTCCACTTGTCTGATAAGGTTCTCCGTTAGTTTGG